TGTGGGTCCCCAGGTGTTTTGGCCTCAACTCCCAGAAATCCGAGCCAGTTTATCAGCTGTTAGGATTTCTGGGAGTTGAAGACCAAAACATCTGGGGACCCACAGGTTGAGAACCACTGTTTTAAAGGAAAAAGAAAGTGAACCAACACTGTGCACTAATACACCACTGCAAATTCACTGCACTTGGATAAAAAATTGCCCCACTTCCACTGGAATATAGTTGTCACTATTTAATACATAGAATAAAACCTGTTTCTTAATGAAGTCATTTCGAATGTATACAGTATGTGCCATACAACTTAAGGAAGTTTTGCAATATATACCAACTATACAAGTGTCTGTAAAAAGATACAGTTGTAAATACAACTTCAGTTATTGTAACTACAAGTACTGCAATTTTTGAACAGTGGTGAATGTTTACTGGGATGAGCATCCATGGAGATTTGCTATGATAGGCCCAAATGTGAGACTTCCATTTGCAAAATAAATAAATAAATAAAAAATTACTCTGAATTTAAGATTCCTGGTAACAAACAATTAAGACTCATTTTACCATGCTCTTTTTGTAGGCTTCTGAGACAAATTTAGTTGGCTAATAAAAGAAAGAAACCTCAACTAGATGTACTTTTTAAAAAAGCAGAACATCATAACCAGAATTCATGCATATTAAAAGCCCATATATATATATATTTTTTTACTCTGACCACTTCAGGAAACTATGAGGGAGTCTTTTCAAAAGACTACATAAACCTAATGTCAGCCTTGTTTGAACTAGTAACCTTGAGAATGCTGTCCTTCAACTCCCAGCATCCCCAACCAGCATGGTTTGCTTTGTAATGAGACTTGTAATTCAATGTACCTGGAAAGTACATGATTGAGAAAGACTATTACTACTACTACTCCCTGCTTTTATCTCAGGTACCTTAACTGCTCTACACAAAGTTACTTCTTTCCTGAAATCATGTTTTCATCTATTTGCTAAAAGTACCCAAAATGCAAATACTTTATTTGTGGAACAATCTATTTTAGACAGAACTGAAATGCCATAAATAATGGTTCATTGTCCTCTTCACATTCTGTCATTAATGCAAATGCCTCTTTGTTGGGTTTGTATTTAAGGTATTATACTTTAACTTCCCCATAATCCATTCCACTATTTTATGAACCAACTTTAAAGAACATATTTTTTGTTATTCAAAGTCACAGAGGAACAGTATTAGAGTGTCTCCAAAGTACTGTGACTATCATTCTTTGCGAATTCTATTTATTTTTTAAAAAACAAAGAAAACACAAGAATTGGATGAAGCTCATCTGTTTTTCAATTCAATGTGTCTCTACATGAATATGAGAATTACTCCTAGCAAAAAGTCTGTCAAGGACAGTACTTATTATGAAAATTAATACATCACACTAAATGTCACAGCTTGACAATATGTGATTCTACATTTAAAGGGAAAGCAGGACAAAATAGATACTGGATTAGAAAATATATGTACATTTGCAGTTTTATAAAAATAGTCAGGCATAATTGTCATTTACATTATTCACTATTCCATAATGTTTACACTTCCATGCCAAGAACAAACACTGGGAGTATTTATGATGGATAGTGTAAAAAGTCTTCCTAAGGAGATCTTATCTCAGGATGTAAATCATCAGTCTTTTTTTACTTTACAGACCTGCAAATAAAGGTGAGATTGGAATTCAAGTCCAATAAAACAATATTTATCATAGGCATGTTCCCACTAAGCGGTATGTTTTTAAACTACTGTTGTCATATTAGACTAAAATAAACTTTACAAGAACTACAGAAACAACTCCAGAAAGATTTAAGAAGGCGGTACACAGTTCTTCAAGATTTAAGTATTCAAATAGTAAATCATAAAAAGTGACCAGCTCTACAGTACATGGAATTCTATATTAATAGTTTAGAACATACCTTCCATCAAGGAACCTTTAAAAAATGTCCACAGAAAAAAATACACATACAACATTTCCGGCCATAGAACAAAATCTACATGCAATATTTTGCCCTAATCTTTGTTAGTTTTGACCAGAGAAGACTCAATGAATCAATGAGGTTAGCCTCTATATGTGTGTGTGTGTGTGTGTGTGTGTGTGTGTGTATGTCCCAGCACTTAACAGTTTAATTGAATCATTTCACAGTGAGTTTCCCAAGTCAGGTCAGATCTACTCTCTTGAACGAAATAGCTAATTAGGAACAATAGCCAGTCACACAATTATATTAAAGGGGTACTTAATATTCCCAATCCCATCTTCAAAATGTCACTGCAAACACAAAGCTGTTTGATCATGATGTCTAAGTAGGTGTTGATCATTACTCTCAAGTCCTAGGCACTAAATTACTCTCAAGAACCCGGAATAAAAGATAAGGAAGACATCCCCACCCCACCCCCTTTACTCTTCATCCCCTTTATCCAATATCATTAGACAGGTGGCCAGACACTCCTCCATCTTTGAATGTTTCCTATGTCCTACTGTTTTACTTTGAGGGCATAAGAGGGAAAAAGGAGTCAAGGGGGAGAGAACTTACACAGAGCACTGCCAAAGCACATCAGAATTCCTTCACTCTTAAATCCATGCCCAACCACTAATGAAGAACATTCCCCACCCCACACACATATTCAGGTCACCCCTCCACACAACTTCCCTCCAAAAAATCTGATCTTACTCCTTATCTTCTTAATTCTGAGGGGGATCACCTTTGTCTCCCCAACTATACCCCAACACCAGCATTAATCTGAAAGGGAGGTCTGCACAGATGCACATTCGTGTTTTACATAATTGTTATTAAGAATTATTCAAAGTGCAGTAAAAATTGCATGTATTTGGGGGAAAAGGGAGAAATTATAGAAAAATATAGAAAAGAGAATTGTGGGTATATTAGAGCAGGTGTGGTGTAATGGTTTGTGTGTGAGACTAGGACTCTGGGAGACCAGAGTTAAAATTTGCACTTGGCCACAGAAACTCACTGGGCAACCTCGGGCAAGGAACACTCTCTCAACCTCAGAAAAAAGGTGTGGCAAATTTCTTCTGAACAAACTCTGGGATATAAAGATTTGTTCAGTTGCTATATGTGGAAATGACTTAACGGCACACAACAACAAAATACAGGTTGAACATCCCTTATGTGGAATTCCGAAATCCAAAAAGGGTAGCTCAGATAGAGACACCTTTGCTTTCTAATGGTTCAATGTGCATAAACACTTTCGTGCACAACATTAAAATATTGAGTATAAACCTGCCTAAAGGTATATGAAATCTCATAATACAAAACTATGAATTTGAAGTTGGCATGTTATTGGTATTAATTATTTCAGCTTGTTTTACTCTGGTGTATCAGGATGCATCTACACTGTAAAATGAATGTAGTTTGGCATCACTTTAACTGCCATGGCTCAATACTATGGAATCTTGGGAGTTGCAGTTTTAACAAGGGCTTTGACCTTCTGTGCCAAAGACTGTGGGTGCTTCACCAAACCACTCCTAGGATTCACTAGCATTGAGTCATGGTGTCAAACTGCACTGCTGCTACAGTGTAGGTGTTTTAATGGAAGCACCTACACTGACATACAAATCTGGATATGAAAGCTGGCTTTCGAAAATGGTTGACTACTTTTCATTATGATGGTTGTCTTTTAACCTTGTCAATACCTATTGGTTTTTAACTGGTTTTGCCTCCAAAGTGCAATATGTTTTTAAACCCAGTATAATTTTTAACCTGTGTATTTACTTATTGTGATAGTTTTTAAAAAATTATTATTCTATTATATTTTAATATATTGTATATACATATAATATTGATAATATTATAATGTAATACTAATAATATGATACTATAATTATATATTTTATATTAAATGTAATATTACTAATCATATTACAGTATAACGTTATAGTACAATGTAATATATAATATTAATATTGTGCTATGGTAATAATATAATACATTGTATTTACTTTTTACTTGTAAGCCGCTCTGAGTCCCCTTCGGGGTGAGAAGGATGGCATATAAATGTGTGTGTGTGTGTGTGTGTGTGTATATATATATATACACACACACACACACATATAGTTTACATGATATGTTGTTTACATGATTTTAATATGTTGTAAGCTGCTTTGGGTCCTTTGAGGGAGAAAAGCAGGATTTAAATAAATATTTATTATTATTATGTCTTGTCCTTTTGGTTTCTGCTTATGTATGTATTGTGACTTGACTGTGTTGTGAGCCACTCCGTGTCCTTGTAGAGAAGGGGCGGAATATAAACAAAGTTTATTATTATTATTATTATTATTACTACTACTACTACTATATTTTAACTATGCTGTACTCCACCTTGAGTATGAGTATGTACTCCACCTTGAGTATGAAATAAAACTTATTATTCTTATTGGATGCCAATATGTAAAAATCTGGGGGGAAGGGGGAAAGCCCTGAAGCCTTTCTGCTCCCAAGCATTTCTGATAAGGGAGACTAAACCTGTATATTACTAAAACTTCCACCCCATTCACCCCAGAGGGTGCATCTATACCAGGCATGGGCAAACTTCGGCCCCTCAGGTTTTTTGGACTTCAACTCCCACAATTCCGAACAGCCTTCGGTCCCTTCCTTTTCCCCTTCAGCTGCTTAAGCTGAAGGGCTGAAGTTTGCCCATGCCTGATCTACACTGTAGAATTAACACAGTTTGGCCCCACTTGAACAGCCATGGCTCGTTGCAATGGAATCCTGGGAGTTGTAGTTTAGTGAAGCACCAGTGCTCTTGGGTAGAGAGGGTTAAATACCTTGTAAAACTACAATTCCCAAGATTCCTCAGCACTTGAGCTATGGCAGTTAAAAGTGGTGTCGAAGTGCATCAACTCTCCAGTGTAGATACACCCTGAGCCATAAGAGCAAAACAGATTGAAATTATTATTATTCACACCAACCAAACGCCGCTTGTGTACGTGAACCCGAAAGTCGCGGAGAGCCTGCTCACCTCACCACTCGGTCTTCCTTCCCTGCCTGGGGGGGAGAAAAGGCAAGCGAGGCGGGGGCGAGGCGGAGGGCCCCGCGCTCCCCGGGACGGGCCATGTCCACCTCCCACTCAAGAGGCAGCCCGGGCGAAGGAGGGAGGAAAGAAAGAGGCCAGGCGCGGGCTCAAGCCCTGCGGCGACGCCTGGACAGGGCAGAGGGACGCGGGGAAGGCGCCAGCTTGGCCCCGCCCCGCGCAAAGCTGGGCCTCCGCGACGACAGCCTCAGTCAGGCCCTTCCCTCCCCCTTGCCCTCTCTCTCTCCCTCTCTCTCTCTCCCTCCGCGACACAGCAGCGAATGAGGAGGAGGAGGGGGAGAGAGAAAAGAGAAGGAGAGGGGACCGCGCATGTCCGCACTCACGCGCTCACCCATACACACCCCTCCCTCGCGCAGGCGGGCGCGCGCTCCCAACGAACGCCTTTTACAGACCAACTGCACCTCATTCTCCACAGGACAGAGTTAGGGAGGCGGTCTCCCCTCTCGACCAATCGGCGACCGCTTTAATTTTGATGGACGGCCGCCACAGCTAATGGCGTGAAAGGTTCTTCCCACAGGGCATGCATGCTATTTAGTAGCTTATTCTAACCCAGTTTATCTGCACCTAGATTCTTGGGATGCTCTAGGACAGGCATGGGCAAACTTGGGCCCTCCAGGGGTTTTGGACTTCAACTCCCACAATGCCTAACAGTCTCAGGCCCCTTCCTTTCCCCCCTCAGCCACTTAAAGGAAAGGGCCTGAGGCAGTTAGGAATTGTGGAGTTGAAGTCCAAAACCCCTGGAGGGTCCAAGTTTGCCTATGCCTGGTTTATAGTATGGGATACAGGATTGGTTAGACCAGTGGTTCTCAACCTGTGGGTCACCAGGTGTTTTGGCCTACAACTCCCAGAAATCCCAGCCAGTTTACCAGCTGTTAAGATTTCTGGGAGTTACATTCTAAACAGTTACTGAGTCAGTCATGTGACCTGCAGCCCCTCCCATGGCATTAGGCATATAAGGAAACATCAAATCAAATAAGACATACTTCAGATTATAAAACGACACATTACAAAACAGACAAACATCATATGGAGGAGGCTTGAGAAGGTTGCTGAAGTCCCATTATATAAAAAGGAATAGCAAAATGGTGTTCCCTTTATAAAATGACAGAATCAAGGTGTGTTTTTTGGATTTTTAAACTAGTTTCTTGCCAAGCTGTGGATGGTTGGAGCCAATTCTATATGTGGCCTTTTCTCTACTGAACTCAAGGTTACACTCGTGGCTCTAATTCTTCTCAAAATATCCTCACACAAACATGTAAAATACATTAGGTTGATAAAGACTGAAAGGTGCTGACTGTTGAGTTACATGTGAATCATGTTTCATTCAGGCCTACAATATATGTATTCCAAGCCCCAAACCCAGCTTCTGTACTCTAGCCATTACACCACAATTCCTTGCCCCATTCAGTGTTTAAAAGGTTGATATGGCTTGTACCTTGAATACTAGTACTGCTTGGGCCATTAGGGTCATGTTCAGAAAATGGGAATTGATCTATGGATAAGGTGATATGGACGTGCAACTTTTGGAAATTCAGATCAGTCACTGGATGCATCTACATTGCAAAATTAATGCTGATTGACACCACTTTACCTGTCATGACTATCTGCTGTGGAATTATGGGAGTTCTAGTTTTACAAGGTCTTTAGCATTCTCTGCCAAAGAATGCTACTGCCTCACCAAACTCAAAATCCCAGGATTCCGTAACATTGAGCTATGGCAGTGAAAGTGGTGTCAAACTCCACTAGGTTTACAGTTTAGGTTAACTCATTATTTCTTAGTAACAATGTAATATCATCTGAATTGTTCAGAATGGGACAAGGGACTTTTGAACTTCTAGATTTTGTCTGAATGCAATTTCCATCAGCCCTGAAAATATGGCAAAATATGGAGATGATAGGAGTTGTAATTTGACATCTGAAGGAATGCATGTTTCCCACTTAATGGAGAGACAACATGGTGTAGTAGTTTGAGTGTTGGATTAGGATCCTGGAGACCATCGTTTGAATCCCCACTCGGCCATGGAAACCCACTTGGTGACCTTGAGCAAGTGCTCTCTCAGGATCAGAGGAAGTAAAGGCAAACATCAGCTGATCAAATCTTGCCAAGTAAACTTTCTGGTAGTTTTGATTTAGGGTGCCCCCCCCCCCCAAGCTTGGAAATTACTTAAAGGTACACAGCAGCAGCAACAAGAAAGCACTTGATAAATTATAAAACTGTCATGAAAGACATTGTGCTGGTTTTCTGAATACTTGTGCTTCAGTATAACATAATCAACATAAATAGCAAAGGCTACTTTAAACAGTATGTTCTGCCTTGAGATCTGACTTATGCGGAAGTTATTAGGATAAACAGTCCTAAACCGTCACTCAAAGCCTTGCTGACATATGTTTTAACTATGTGCCTGAATTTTAATAATGATGCAATTCCAAATAGCAAATAAACCAATAACGTCTTTCTCTTCCTAGACACTGGGTAATTCAGGTCAATAAGCATAAAATACGATCAGTATTGTTTATATGAAACCAAACTTCATAGGAGATATGTTACAATAATGTTGTAAGGTATTCTTGTCCCAAATTATGTAGTTCCTGAAAAGAACAGAACTTTGGTTGGAGACCCCAGTGGCACAATTGGTTAAACCCTTGCACCGACAGGACTGAAGACCGACAAGTTGCAGATTCGAATCCGGGGAGAACGCGGATGAGCTCCCTCTGTCAGCTCCAGCTCCTCATGTGGGGACACCCACAAGGATGGTAAAACATCAAAAATTCCAAGCCTCCCCTGGGCAACGTCCTTGCAGACAGCCAATTCTCTCACACCAGAAGCGACTTGTACTTTCTCAAGTCACTCCTGACACGAAAAAAAGCACTTTGGTTTATGGCTGGAAGATACTAGGCAACTAATGGAAATAGTTCCATCTTTTCTATGGCCCTTTAGATGTTTTCAACTTACAGCATGCAGTGGCCCTAGCTAGCATAAACAACAGTGAAAGATGTGCAGAGCTGCAGACTAAAAACATCTGGAGATCTACAGTTGTTTATTCCTGATTTAGTACAAGGCCTTCTCCATAAAATTAACTCTGTCCAGCTGCGATACGTTGATTACAAAACAACGTGCACATTCAACCATTTTATTCAAATCTTTAGCTGCATTCGGAATAGCAATAGGTTATTTACATGTGTTTGTTCTCTGAAAAAGTTTTAGAGTTTCACTGGTAGAAGCTATGGCAGATCAATCTATTTGGTTTAGCAAGGTACTAAAGGTTAAAGGATGGTGACATCTAGTGTTCAAAGTAGTGAATAATTAACGAATGAATTGTGGAATTGAAGTTTCAAAGAAGTGGAATTGGTCAATTACATAGTATAATGATACCTTGACTTAAGAGTTTAAAACTTTCTTAACTCAAAACGATCTTCTCTCCCATTTAAATGCTATTAATCTGCTCCAGCCTCCTGAAAAGACCCAACATGTATAACTGTTGTTGTTGTTCATTCGTTCAGTCGTCTCCGACTCTTCGTGACCTCATGGACCAGCCCACGCCAGAGCTCCCTGTCGGCCGTTACCACCCCCAGCTCCCTCAAGGTCAGTCCAGTCACTTCAAGGATGCCATCCATCTATCTTGCCCTTGGTCGGCCCCTCTTCCTTTTGCCTTCCACTTTCCCCAGCATAATTGTCTTCTCTAGGCTTTCCTGTCTCCTCATGATGTGGCCAAAGTACTTCAACTTTGTCTCTAGTATCCTTCCCTCCAGTGAGCAGTCGGGCTTTATTTTCTGGAGGATGGACTGGTTGGATCTTCTCACAGTCCAAGGCACTCTCAGAACTTTCCTCCAACACCACAGCTCAAAAGCATCGATCTTCCTTCGCTCAGCCTTCCCTAAGGTCCAGCTCTCACATCCGTAGGTTACTACAGGGAATACCATGGCTTTGACTAGGCGGATCTTTGTTGCCAGTCTGATGTCTCTACTCTTTACTATTTTATCGAGACTGGACATTGCTCTCCTTCCAAGAAGTAAGCGTCTTCTGATTTCCTGGCCACAGTCTGCATCTGCAGTAATCTTTGCGCCTAGAAATACAAAGTCTGTCACGGCCTCCACGGTTTCTCCCTCTATTTTCCAGTTGTCAATCATTCTTGTTGCCATAATCTTGGTTTTTTTGACGTTTAGCTGCAAGCCGGCTTTTGCGCTTTCTTCTTTCACCTTGATTAGAAGGCTCCTCAGCTCCTCCTCGCTTTCGGCCATCAGGGTGGTGTCATCTGCATATCTGAGGTTGTTAATGTTTCTTCCAGCAATTTTCACCCCAGCCTTGCATTCATCAAGCCCCGCACATCGCATGATGTGTTCTGCATACAATTAAAAAGGTTGGGTGAGAGGATGCAGCCTTGCCGTACGCCTTTCCCAATCTTGAACCAGTCTGTTGTTCCGTGGTCAGTTCTGACTGTTGCTACTTGGTCCTTGTACAGATTCCTCAGGAGAGAGACAAGGGCTTGGGATGCCCATCCCACTAAGAACTTGCCACAATTTATTATGATCCACACAGTCAAAGACTTTAGAATAGTCAATAAAACAGAAATAAATGTTTTTTCTGAAACTTCCTGCCTTTTCTCATTATCCAGTAGATATTGGGAATTTGGTCTCTCGTTCCTCTGCCTTTTCTAAACCCAGCTTGTACATCTGGCAATTCTCCGTGTATTGCTGGAGTCTTCCTTGCAGGATCTTGAGCATTACCTTACTGGCATGAGAAATAAGGGCCACTGTACGGAAGTTTGAGCAGTCTTTCGCATTTCCCTTTTTTGGTATGGGGATATAAGTTGATTTTTTCCAGTCTGATGGCCATTCTTGTGTTTTCCATATTTGCTGGCATATGGCATGCATCACCGTGACAGCATCATCTTTTAAGATTTTAAACAGTTCAGCTGGGATCCGTCGTCTCCTGCTGCCTTGTTGTTAGCAATGCTTCTTAAGGCCCATTCAACCTCACTCCTCAGGATGTCTGGTTCTAATTCATTCACCACACCGTCAAAACTATCCTCAATATTATTATCCTTCCTATACAGATCTTCTGTATAGTCTCGCCACCTTATCTTGATCTCTTCAGCTTCTGTTAGGTCCCTGCCATCTTTGTTTCTTATCATACCAATTTTTGCCTGAAATTTACCTCCAATGTTTCTAATTTTCTGGAAGAGGTCTCTTGTCCTTCCTATTCTGTTGTCTTCTTCCACTTCCATGCATTGCTTATTTAAAAATAGGTCCTTATCTCTTCTGGCTAACCTCTGGAATTGCGCATTTAACTGGGCATATCTCCCCTTATCCCTGTTTCCTTTTGC